GAAGTAGAAGTATCCAATGTTAATATTTGATACAATGTCACGCCAAGTGAATACATGTCAGTGGCAAATCCATAAGGTTGATTCAATAGTAATTCTGGTGAAATGTAGCATAGAGAACCAGCATAGGTATTTTTGGTAGTGTGTGCATTCTCTTTGGCAATACCAAAATCTCCCAAAACAACCTCAATCAAATTCGAGTCAATATCCCTTCTTCTGATAAAGATGTTTTGAGGTTTAATGTCTCGGTGCATGACTTGTTGGGAATGCACATAGTTAAGAGCTTGGGTGGTTTGAGAAATGATTTTCCAAATAATTGGCAGTGGAATAGTTGCGGCTGATTTGATGGATTCACTAATGATGGACATGACATCTCCCTTATACAGTTCCATGACAATGCAAAACATGGAAGAATGCTCGGTATCGACTTGGAAAGTGTCATAAATCTTTACCACATTCTGGTGATCCAATTGCTTGACAAGATTGGCTTCATTTTCAGCATCTTGTGTTGGTTTCTGAATTGAATTTTTACCTGTAGCTATGGTTTTAATTGCCACATTTGGTTCCTCTGGTGTATTCAACACTTGGCATTCAAAAATGATACCAAATCCTCCCTCTCCAATAATTCGAATAATTTTGTATCGATCATCAAGAGTCATTCCCAAATATTGTTCATATCTTCCATTGCCTGCTCTTTGTGGAAGAATTGAATCGACAGTATTCTTGACTCTCTTCAATTTAATCAGGTTGAGTTCATCATCCAATAATTGTAAATCCTTCATGTCCACAACATCCACAAATTCCTCAAAATCTGGATCATAGTATTGTAATTCGTAACTACCTCGAATTCCACATCTGAGCTTGGTTTTTTTCACAAAATCTTGAACACTCTCGGAATAATTGACAACCATTTTGAATCTCTTACGATACAGATTCAACATGTTATCTATATATTCCACTTCAAACTTGTAACAGAGATAGGTTTCGGATTTGTTAAGGAGCTTTCGTGCCCAAATAATCATGTCTGAATTTTCAGTTGTTTCTGCAACAGAGGCCAAATCCATTCCATTCTTTTTAATATCCACATCAGCTCCCTTCTCAACTAGGATAA